TATATTTATATTTATATTTATATTTATATTTATATTTATATTTATATTTATTTATTATTTATATTTATATATATATATTGTCGGGAAAGTTAATCTGTTGAATTCGGTTTTCAGAGATAGTGATTTGTTTGGGATGTAATATTGTTCTTCACGATGTTATTAGTTAACAACAAAAAGGATGCAAAATATATATATATATTACGCAATGAATTGGTAAGCAGTGATGAGTTATACAAAAGGCAAGTAATATGATCAACTAACAAATTCCTTTCCTTGCCTTCGATAATAATTTGATTGTCAGTTAGTTGATAGATTATTGAGTTGGGGATATGTTACGGAAATGTATTTAACGAGTAGGAAGAATATCGTAGTTTGCTGTCCAGTGGTGGCGGATATGCGAAGATATCGCTGTTTGTGATTTACCCGCGGAGGATAAGCGAAGAGGATGCATCGTCTACTCGATTGTAAGAACTGTCTGTCGCGGGATTTTTTCATATATACATATATAAGGATTGGGGAGTTTTGTAAGCTCCATCTGGGTTATCATGGAGATATATGGCTGCCCTTTGGCGTCGTCTATTGTGTAGATACTGACACGTCTTTGCGTTATGCAGTCCATTGCTAGCTTACATATTCTCTTCATTGCTTTAATTTAACAAAGTTTCATCATATTGTATAGGACTGAGATTTCTGTCATGCAGTCCGTTATATCCTCTTCATTGCTTTAATTTTACAAAATCTCATCTCCCTGTCTGTTAGATATTGTGGAAATTTTGTTTGAATATAGCTTTAATTTCGGTAATCCGAATTACCGAAATTCCTAATTCGAGACCAGCGCCGGAGAAGGAAGCTTCTTCGTTGTACTTGTGCTTCCTGTTCTCAGTGCAATAGGTTCTTCGGCGTTCTCTGGCTTATTTTTAGTTTCTTCTCTTTCTATATCAGACTTAATGTTGGCCTCGAGGGGATATAACATGTTTATCGGCCTTGTAAGTTTTCTATACGGAGTTTCTATTACTACAGCTCTTGTGACTCCATCTTTTCCCTAAGTTCTTTTATTTTTGCTAATTTCCAGAGACCTCGATGAGTTTCATGTTCGTTCAACAATACGATTTCTCCTACTCGCGGTGAATGATTCTCTGTGACTTCAACGTGCTCTTTCTGGGTTCGTTCACTGAGGCTTGTCAAGTACTCCGTTTTCCATAGTTCCCAAAATGTGTCGAGCACTTTGAGTGTAGTCATCCAATACTTAATTAGTCGTTCTCTCGCGTTCAGCGTTCCTGGCATGTATTCATCCTAATTGTCATTAATTGTCGGTATAACTAAGAAAGCATTGGGTTTATGAAATCTATTGAATGTATTATCGTATTATCGTCAAAATTGACATACGTTAGTGATCGAGTATTTAAAATAC